CACAACCACGCTACACCTGCTTTTCCCCGTCTGATCACATTTGTTTTTGGTGTGGATTGACTTAGCTACAGGGGAGTGATTGTTATCCGCCGGCACCAAAAACCAATGTGACTCTGCCAATACCTCATTAGCATGAAAGTTTCTTTACTTTTGTAAAAACTTCGGGTTTGTAGCAAACAAAGGGAGGTAAATCCACTGTTCTTTTGATTTATTGCAGGATTGCAAAGGGGGTAAGAGACTATACACTCGGACTTTGCAAGATTTTTTTCTGTCGTTGACACTTTTCACCTCCACAGTTGAAGAGAACACCGCGTGCCGCTTGAGGGCACTGTTTACGTGCCCACATTATCATCCTCTGAACCGGCTACGGGTACTTCTTCAAGTTCTTGATTAATACATTGTACTTCCATACTTTTTTCTTACATGAAAGCAATCAAGTAACTCGTTTATTTGGCGTTTTCATCGCTATATTCTGTCAATTCTGGATACAGAAAAGTTAATAATAAAATCCGAAATTCAGAAACTGCACTGAGCGTGGTGTCCTGTCCTATCTGTAACGTAAAGTATCTGCATCCATCGGTATCGTACAGTTGGCAAAGCATCCCTGGGAAACATATATCACACAGAGGCAGTTACAGTTTTGGATGTGGGAGGAAAACCCCAGAGGAATATTCTGGGTAAAACCCACGGATTCAAGTGGGGACTCAAAACCCAATCCACATGTGGACCGAGCTGGAATTTGTAGAGGTGGCAGGCGAGGACAGAACTACTACTACGCGAACCCGACTCCCCTCCCCTACCAAACCCTGGATTTATGCCTATTGGGTCACACACAAGAGGGCGTACTTTGAGATCACGTGCTCAAAATATCTTGAATTTTTTTCAAAATTGTCAACTTTCAGCATGTTGGTACTTACTCTGGCGTCTTCAAGATTTTTACTATTTTGTTGCTTCTGACGAGAAAAAAATGTTAAAAAGGCAAAAACGGCGCACTTTTATTACCATCAGACCGTGCTTGGGGCACAGACATAAAAATACTTTACCATTTAATTGCAAAGCAGGGCGCCCCCGGCACCGTCGGAGCCGACCTTCATGAGTGAGGTGAACAAACTTCTTCCGAAAGTTTGTTGACACAACGTCCTTTGAAAGTTCGTTGATCTTGAGTCCGCCGCGCCATAAAATCATTTGGAAGGAGTCAGGCAAACGGACGACAGTGTTGAAGGCATCGGTCTAGTCTGGTCACCGAAGTCCTATTACCTTTCACGCAGACACGGATGTTCCTTGCTGCTAGGCTATGAAAAGAAAACCGAATCAATGCGTTACTCGTGCGCGCCGGTAGTTGTCTTTTTTCGTTCCACCATTAAACATTTCCACGAATACATCGGACCAAGACTGAAATTTTTACCGGCTGTGAACTCTTTTGATGTGCTGAAGTATGAGCTTCTGAAGGTAGGATATCATTTTGATGTTGTGTGATGTGGAGTAAGGTTTTTTCTATTTTTTGGACATGTGAAATTCACAGACATGCCGCTTGCCAGAAATCGTGCATGAACATGATGAACAGTGAACGTGCGTCATTATTTATCGCAAGCAGACCCTATGCGTCTGTATGGACATAATAATTGATGGACAGAGGCCTAGCTCACTTGATTTAACAACAAAACAGACATTCAGTAAAACCGTCATGTTAGTTCTCCTGGTTGCTCTGACTGTCTTAGTATTTGTCTTACATGTCTGAAGCTAATCCTAATCTGCCATGTCGCCAAATTCATTGTCTAGTTAAACCAGGATTATATGGCAGATACAGCCTAGCTGGGTCCCCTAGCGCTGGCCGGGCCAGTTGTCCAAAGTCTTGGTGGTATAAAAAATCATGGTGTAAACAGGGTAAACGCGTTCCTCATGAAGCTAGCCTACGGCCATGATGGTGTTAAATTGTAAGTTGCAATTTTTCAACTGTCATGACTACCACCAGTGACATTGAATGTGTGCACCCTGTGTGTTTGGAGACTTAGAAATTTCCAAAGGGCCACTCTACCCAAAATGGGTGAATATTTCATGGGCCTTATTAATTTGAGATTGTTTGGGGCTGCTTTGGCCATGTCAGAATTACTTCACTGGGGTTTGAAATTATGCACAAGTTTTTTGTCGTGCCTGGTGCCACTTTCTATAGAGTTCGGCCTCGATCTTCATGACCATTAGCACTAGACCAGTACACATTCTCATAAGAAGTGCTAAAGTAAAGTAAAGACCTACCTATTTGACACTATCATTTGTCATATTTGTAAAAATGAGTTTAGCAACTGATCAGTTGTGTTGTAACAGTTTTGAATCCTCCACTTCTAAGTTCTAAACTTAAGCAGACTCTACAGAAAGAGTCGAAAGGTGAAAAAACAAAGTCCAGTTGGAAAATAAACATTCCTGCGCAGGGCAGAAACTCCATTCTTGAAAAGGCAAGGCAATGTCTCATTTGCAAAGGGCACTTGTATTAGAAAATCAACTTGTCTATGGGGACATTTCTGTAGGCATTGAGGCAAAGACCAGGGGCATCAAGGCAATACGGGTGATTCACAGTGGTGCTCTTCCAAGAGTGTACAACGCGTTGGCCAATCACAGCGAGTGAAATCTGTCGACCCTTTCCAAACGCACATTGGGTGGACCGATTTTGCACATTGTGATTGGCTAACGCTTTGCAAACTCTCAGAGGCGCACTATAGTGAATCGCCTATGTTGCCTCCTGTGCCTCCATAAAGTTCCTGCTCTGTTGCGGCCAAGTAAAACAATAAGTTAACTTTCTCGACAGGCTGGTTAAAAAAGCTTTTTGTCAAGGCCTGGCCAATGGAATCCCATCTGTAACATATCCGCTTGTTGATTGTCAGAACCCCAACAACAGATGGCATTCTTTTTCACACAATGTATGTCACGCTTCTGGAAACAAGACTAGGCGTCTTATCCATGAATAAACCACACCAGAGTCGAGTCCTAAATAGTTCTCCTCTGTCCATCCGTTCATCATCCTAAAACGATCCCGTACACTTTACATGGTGGCAGCGGTCAAGTCCTAAATAGTTCTCCTCTGTCCATCCGTTCATCTTCCTAAAACGGTCCCGTACACTTTACACCATCTAATGTCAAATAACTGAGCAATGAGGGAAAAAACCCAGTTGGTTAACAAACGTAGCCTACTGGGAGGTCAAAGTTTGCCAAAGGTTCCCCCTGGGTGTTCTTTGTTCATTGAGTACTTACGGAAAAGAATTCCACATCTGGATGCTACTCGACACATTGTGCATGAAACCTTTGAGACTGGTCTGAAAAATTCTGAGCGTTTTCTAAGTGAATACTTCAATATTTATTTGACGGTTTAGGACACGTTATTGCTTTCAGATGGCTAATACTTCAGGTCACTGTCGGGAAAAATTAGCGGCAGCTGCATGTACATGGAATTCTTTCCTTATTTAGTACCGATAGTAAACGATGGCTTTTAGTCTGTTAATGACTCCAAGAGGTTTTTAATTTTATCACGCAAATAGAGTACCGAAGTGAATACGTCACGCACACAATTAGTGTGTAAAAGGCATTAGCGTGTGAACCAACACGCGCGCGTACTCCATTCGTTTGCACTGCACTTTCTGGTTCAAAATGACGTCACGCTTCGGTACTCCATCACTGGGTTTTGTTTTTGATATGATTGCCAGCCAAAGCTTAGTAATTGCACGTTGGCAATTCCTATGATTGTGGCATACTGTATTGCACCATTTCCGTATCTGCTGATCCTGTTCAGTCACATTTCCTTCCTGTATCCATGTTGATTCTCCTTTTGTTGCTTTGCCATTCTTTACTTCATAAAAAAAGAGGAAATGAACCCATCAAGTCAACTTTGTATTCATGCCTCAGTGACCCAGTCGATACATTTCTCCAAAATGTTGCCAAAGTAGAAATTATTACAGAATTAAGGTGCCTTTCCATATCAACTATTTTGCCGGCTGAACATCTTTAAAATAGTTCGCGGTACCCGCTGCTTCATTTGACTCGGACCGGCCAGCCGACCCTGGCAAGCTCGGTGGTCGAGTGGTTAAGACATCTGCACTAGTAAGCAGGTGGTCATGGGTTCGAGTCCCACCCGAGTAAGCTTGTGAGANAATATACGTTGGGTAAGGGCAAAACCGTTATACATATTAACATCTCCCCAACACAAAAAATACATCTTGAAAAACGCCCGTGTTATGTTAAAGGAGCCAATTTTTGTGTCCTTGAAAGTGGAATACAAGTACATGTATATTAACGCATCATGTACGCAACGTACATGTAGCCCAAAAAATGTACATAATGGGAAGGCACTTTTATGAGCATTTTTTAATTCACAGTGGGTTTTCTTGGTTGTTGTTGCCGTCACTTTTCAAAAGAGGTTTTTGGATCTCGCTTTTAACACCAGTGTGACCATTTTTCTTGGAAACAATCTGTAATGAGTCCTTGAGTTTGCCAGTAGAAAATGTCCAACCAATTCCTGGTTTGAGCTGTCTTGTTCCTTTGACCGCTGCTGATGCAGGTATTACCTGGTAGGTGTTCAGACATGAAATTAATCTGGTGGTTGGTGTTTTTGTTGAATTCAAACTCGCCTGCTGTAAACTTCCAGAAACAATGTCTCTCAGAGGTTGTTGCAAACTTGTACATGTACAAATGTAGGTTGCGGTGAGGAATGTTGAACAAACAGCACAAAAATGACTCCCAAGAGTTGGCATTTGTGGCATTCTGCTGTATTTGAAACATCGGCCAGCACACGTACGCGTTCCCAGTTCCAAAAGTCAGATTTTAAGTCAAAAATAGCAGCGTCGGCACATGGTTGAGAAACGTTGTGTATGTCTTGTTTCAGAATGAGCTGAGGCTAGACGGACACCATGAGGCTGAGTAACGTTAACAGTGCAATCACCCTTGCCCTAGTCTGGCCAACGTACCTGCTACTGCTAGCCGTCCCATCAACCAGTTTCCAATCAGGTGAGTGCAGTTTCAAGACCAATGTACTGCAGCCATGAGAGGACATCACAGTTGTGAAATTCAGAATTTTGCTGTTTTTGATGTGGACAACACAAGTGGTCAACGGTAGTTTTAAAATAACTCAAATTGTTGATGTTATAGGCTCCTTCAAAAATTGTGGCAAATGGGCAGAGCATGTATGGTTTTGAAATGATGTTTGCAAAAGAAGTTTTGAAAATGTTGTCAAATTGTAAATGTTAACCATTTGCTACCTCTTTTCGAGCACATAGGCTTTATGCACAGAGCCGGGGAACCTGAAATGGGACAAAGGGAACTGGGCCTTGTAACAAAATACCGTACTCGGAACAAAAGACCAGGCTGCTGGGCATTACCGACATTTTTTCACTCTCAACAGTGGAGATAATCCAGCCTTGTTTTGAAACGATATACCACGGTTAAGGACATTTAGAGCGAGCGGATTACCACCGGGGACAAAAGTGCTCCAACACCACAGCGATGAGCCACACAACACCGCTGCACGCTAATCTGGCCCCTATTGAAAAGAGGTCAGCAGCGCACTGTGCCAGGTTCATGAACAAAAGAAAGTTATATAATACCGCACAATCTGAGCTCTTTTTCCAAGGCTGCATGCCTGACTGAAATACTCAGGCATCAATAGATTTTGCCTGTTAGACTAGAGTGGCCACCAGACAGTAATTCGTGTGGGGGTGTAAACGTCCATTAAGTAAAATGATGAATTTTGAAAACTGAAAATCTTGGAAAAGTCCCGATTATGTGCACTGCATTTTTCAGACCAACCGGCAGCAAGTGGTTTTAACAGTCCTCAGTCCTCCAACAGGTGAAGGATTTAGGAGTGTTAGGGTTAAGGGAGAAAATGTGATGGACACCTACATGTACGTGTCGTTTCAGATTTGGACACCGCAATTCCGACGGAGACTTTGAGATGCTCTTGGCAGCTGACAAACCGGTCCTGGTTGTTGATTCTGAGCATGCCTGCGTAGTTTTGAGCATGTGAAAACAATGAAGAGGGACTGTTTGTTCTGCTGCCACCAACACCTCAAAAGCCCCCCATTTTTGCTGTACCATGACTAAAAATCACAGGTTTGATGTCACATCAGGGACACCATACATCTTGCCTGGGCTTATGCAAGATGTACATGTGTGCATGCGATTTCAGAGGGCCCCTTACTACAGTAGTAGTCTTTATTATTACTTACACAGCGTCAGCAACGAGACAATTTTGCAACATAAGAGAATTCCCCACCCTCACAAAAGCATCACTTTACTCTCGACTACAGTACCCCAGGGAATATAAATTGTGTTTATAATTCTGTCTGGCGCTAGTGATCTGCTTTATGAGTTCTTGCATTTCCCAGAACGTTACTTTGTTTCCTGTAAACACAAACACCCTTGGTAGACTTGACATCTGGTATATCAATTTTTTTCTGGTTAAATTACATTTCCTGCAAGTATTTATGGTGTAATTTTTCCTTGACGTTCTAAAGTGTAAATTGAGACATAACTTTCGGTGACTGGTTTGTTCATATTGCAGTTTCAGTTCATTTCTGCTCAGCCTAGCTCACAGGGAATTCTGAAAAATTCTACAAATGAAATAAACTGAGTAAATAAATCACATTTGAGGTTTCATGTGGTCCTGTTAGCTTGTGACTTTTTTTTTTTTTTTTTTTGGTATGGCTGTACATGTACGTTTTACCATTTTAGCCAAGCTTATGGAGAATGGTAAATAACTGAATAACAAACAGCAGGGAAGATATCATGCAAATATTTTTTATTACGTGTAGTTGGATTGCGAACCCGCTCACCCAGAACAGTTAAATTTTATGGGAGAAAAAATGACATCATTTACATGACAACGGACTAAATTCAATTGTTTTGTTTCTCCTCCGACCCAAGCTAAATTAATCATAGGGGTGTGCGCTTACGAGTATTTTCAGAACCAGGTAATAAGTATTATTATGTCAATACTGGGCACTCGTACTCTTAAAATATAAAATAAACACCCAATCCTAGTGGACCATGTGCCGGAAACGGCTCTTTTTATTTTCATACATGCTGGTAGGAAGCAGTACATTGTTCTAAATGGTAGAGGGGAATTTCCCCCACATTTTGATTAAATAAAGTGTTCACCTTTAATTTGTAACGAAAATAGCTCTGTTGATCTCTGAACTGTAGTTGTGACGGTGGCACGATGCTTTTTCAGCAATTCTGCCCTCCACTATTAAAGTTCCCATACATTTTAAACCCTGCAATATTTTTTTACGGCAGTCCGGCCCAGAGAAATGGAACTGGGTTTTGAAAATTTTGCACATAATAGTTGAATGAAAGTGGTGAAGCAATATGCTTTTGTACCCTTCCCTGGGACAGGACGAACGCAAGATTCAAAACAAGTAACACGTACGTACAAAGACAAGATGATAGTGTCAAGTTAGATCCAAGTAAAAATAAATTAATTAAATTTCAATCCTTGCGTTAGAAGTAATAACTGTTTTCTTCAATTCTTTGTCAAAAGAAACCACAGTTTTCCATTTCTGTTAAATTTACCATCAAGCTTATTCCAGTATTTGAAATGGACAGTTTCTGAAACGAGACGTTCTGTCGTGTCCCACAAATAGATCATTTTTCAATGAACTATGTGTCTCATGAGAGTGAACAGAGGAACTCAATAAAAATTAAACGATCAAACACTGTCATGCAATGAAACTTTCAACGAAACCTTCATGCAGTGTCCGTAATCCAATTAATAAAACAATGCTAGCCTCACATTCCAGATTCTTCGTACATGTAAGTCCACAGAGATGTGCTCATTGTTTGCGAATCCTAAATCTGGGCATCCAGCCTGCTCACCTGTTCACTGAATTTTTTGTACAGTGTACATACATGTATGCTCATGCATCATGCCTTCCATTGTCTTCTCCTTTTCAAGACCATTTATGACACCATGCCTTGATAAGTCCACCATTCAGAACTGATAACCACTGAAACAACAGTGATAAGCCTGTTTGTGGAGAATTAAAGATCACTACAGCGCTTTGCCATATAACTGTCCCGTTATCTGGTTTGTCGTACCATGGGCTTGTAGCTCTATGGTTGTGCAATGAGCTGGTTCCTTTTTTCAAAGAGCCAAGGTCTTCCTGAAACAAAGCGCGCACATGAGTTAGTTTATAGGCCTGTGTGATACATGTACAAAGTGTACAGTGTACCGGGTAGTGTGCATTGCACTGCTCACGTAATAGATGAATGCCCACACGTATTGTTGCATGCAGAAAAGGGCGGGGTTGGTGTACAACACACCACATTATGTATACTGTAAAAATCTATGTGCCTGCTGTTCAAGTTCCACTGGCTACGCAGTTTACAAGTTCAAGGCTTTTCCTTTTAGCACAGTACACTTCTTGTATGCAGTGTTCCGCCATGCACACATGTACAGTTGAACCTCGTTACGTAAAAATGAACAGCTATTTCCCTGCATGTGGATTCCAAAAACTGACATTGTTTAACATCTTGCAAGGCTGAATACAGAGGTGTGTGTTATTTTTACAGAGTAAATGACCTACTCTATAGGTCATGACAGGTGGTCAAAGTTAAAGGACACCGTCACAACTTGTGCCCCAGCCTCATGGAATGACCCTAATAACAGCACTGTTAACACAAGATTCTGCTTATAACAAGGAAAATTTTAGATATCAATTCTTCCGTTTTTCATTGTTTTCATTCCTGATAATACAATCCTGTTATATATCAAGATAATTTGCCAAATCGAAGGACCCCTTATTAACGAGGTTCGACAGTACATGTACATGTAAGAGATACACTCAGGGTCATACGTAATGACCGCTAAGTATCAGTATGTACTCTCAAGCAATTTATGGGAACCAGGGCCGTTTTCCAGTACTCAACTTCGTCTCCGTCTCAGGCTTCGTCCCCGAAACCAATCCCCGATTGTGGGCCTGAAGCGTTTAAACCAAATTGGATTACTGTAAGTTTTTGCTCTCTTGCATCTTATTTGATGTTTTGTGGCACTATTAGACTGATTACTGCGTTCACAGCTTCAACGTCAGCTAGTAAAAACCAGCTGAAGCCTGAGACGGAGCCGAGGTTGAGTATAGGAAAACAGCCCAGTGCTCAGAGGTGCCATGTTCTGTGTTATACACGGAGGATAGGGAACCAAAGATTGACTTCTGAGAAGAGTGCATCCTTGATATGACCTCAATGGCTATTCCACAGATTATGAATGTTTACTTTTATAGATGCAACGATAAGAAAGATTTCATGAGGTACATGTAGCAGCCAGATTGAGTGTAGTGTTTACTGTATGTGTAGGAAGTAGAACACTCAGTCTGTCATTGAATGAAATAAGCCAATTGCGAGTTAAATTTGAATAAAATCTTGTGCACTCAGGGGGCTTCTGTCAGTTTGCCATTTTCAGCATTATTCGTCAAAGTGTGAGCATCACAAAACCACGAATTGCCAGAGATCCATGTACAATTACTTTTGTCCTTTGAGCAAAGGCTAATGTATTCATGTTCAGAAACCTAGCTGGAAGAGCCCAATAACCCTAACCCTCCTCAATCCTTCACCTGTTGGGGGATTGAGGAGGGTTAGGGTTAAAGCACGATAAATGTTGCATTTGACTACTTCCGTGCGCATTTATAGATCTGTCTGGTATCACTGAGTAGTTTCTAATAGAGCTGAATAAACATGCGTGCATTATGAAAGGAAAATGCCATGGCCCGAGGGCGTCGTGCCTGAGCAAGTGAGGGTATGTCTTTGACCTCCATGACCTCATCTCTTGTAAGGCATCACACTATTTATGTTGGTACAGGTTTATAAAGATTGCCAGGAAGAATGTCTCTGTCACAGTTTGTTTAGGTTGTCTGACTTCAGGTTGGCAAATTGATGTATTTTTCATGCGAACTCTTGAGTAGGGCTGTGCTGGTTATTTGAATACCCGGATATTCAGTCAGCCATCCACTGTTGATAATCCAATATTGTCTAACATTGACAAATCATTTTGTTTTTTTTCCCCCTTCAATTTGTAGTACGTCTCGCAGGTAGTCCAGTCAATGTGACGGGCGTGAACGAGGGGCGCGTTGAGATTTTTCATGAGGGAGAGTGGAAGGATGTATGCCACCGAAGATGGGACCACCAAGATGCAGAAGTGGTCTGCAGACAGATAGGTGAGTGCTCCAAATCTTGACCGAAATTCTTGTCAAGCACGTACGTGTAAGTGCGCAGCCAAACATGTAGTTGGGTTGGTGTGGTTGCTGGTACAGAGAAATAGATAAAGGAAGTTCTGCCAGTGAAACTCGTGTCAGGCTCGTTTATGATTTGCTTTTCTTTGCTCCCTTTTTGTTTCCTTCCGTCCTTCAGGCTTCTCCAGTGCCACCTTTGCGATGGTGGAGTCGTACTATGGGAGTGGTCGGAACAATGGATCAGTGCAGAATTTTGACTGCGAAGGAGGTAAGTGGATCGTCGAGAGTGCGGAAGCCTTACCAGTGTTGTGGGATAACAACAAAAAAGGTGGAGAGCAGCGCACAGGAACCTTTTTGGCAAGGTCGTGCTTGCGGACAGGCCCCTCCCGCATCAGAAAATGCACACTGCCTAGTCAGTATGAGTGGGTAGGCATTCACCGCGTTAAGGGGACAACTTACTTTCTTAGGGAAATTTGAACCGAGTTGTGGGGACATTTCTGAGTCCCCACAATGTTTTCAGTCCCCACAAAATGGGTGAAATGTCGAGTGTATGTCCCCACAACTACGGTGTGGGAGTATGTGTGCTGGCTTGCCTTTACTGGATATTGCAAAGCCCAATTTCTAGTGACTCTTTCCCCCGATTGTTTCAAACTTCTTGAGAAACAAGAAAATCAATCACGCCTTGGACTTTATTATTTCTGTTCTTGAGGCAATTAGCTTGGTTTTCTGCAGCAGCTTGTGACCAGTGCAAGATGGCACCCAGTTGTAATCTTTAGTGGAAAGAGGTAATTGTGGTAAAGTGTCCTGCCCAAGGACACAAGCAACATGATCCTTGTTGATATTCAAAGGCACATACTGCTGCGGGCAAATCTGACCATGTGAGCATTTGTATTACAGCAGTGTACTCAAATGCTCTTTCCTCTTTAGTAGAATCCCCAAACATGGCGCAATTCAACACCCACCTGACTTTCCTCACACAGCGTTGCCAAACCTCTTCCTTGAAAAACTTAAAACTCATTTGGTTATAAACAGCCTGGGGCCAATTTCATAGAGCTGCTTAAGCACAGAATTTGCTTAAGCATGAAAAAACCTTGCTTGACAAATCAGGTTACTAGCCAAAACTCCATGTGATGTATGTTGGTTTGGAATGGTACTCACCTTTCTTGTGGTTAGCCTAACAATCACATAGATTTTAGGCAGGTAACCTTTTTTTTAAGCAAGATTTTTTTGTGCTTAAGCAAATTTTGTGCTTAAGAAGCTCTATGAAATTGGCCCCTGGCACTATTGCCTTCATGATACATGGTGCTGAACCTCTGTGAATGATTTCAGTGGCATAAGATTTTGTTTGAAATCCAAAACTGTCGGCGTCCGGAAATTGGGTTTGAATTTAGCTGAGTGTTTGCCTGATGTGGTGCACTTCCATAAAATCTCAGAAAATCCCACATAAACATTTACAAAATCATTTGAAGTTGATGAATTCCTGTAAAGCCTCATGACTTCCACTTACATACCCATCAACAAGTTTGTCAGAAAATTCTTTTCTTCCTTTGGGGCACATTTTATAAGAGTTCGTTTCACATGTCAGAACAAAACACGGAAAATTTCATCCAAACTTTGTGGCAGGTAGGTAAAATTGAGATTAATGAATCAAAATTTGAGGATCATAATGACTATTCAGTAATAATTAAATTTGAGCGAAAAACAGTGCTCCATACAGACACAAGAAGCAAAAAAAGGATTTGCGCCATGTTAGGAGCCACGCCCCTAACATCAATAAATATAGGCTTACCCGTAATTTGTGTATTGACCCTTCCTCTGTATCTCTTTCCCGCTTCCCTACTCAGACGAGCAGTACCTTGAGCAGTGCTCCTTCAAGACGGCCAGCAAGACTTGCCGGGACGGGGAGACAGCTGGAGTCAGCTGCTTCCGTAAGTGAAATCAGCCAAACGACAAGATCTAGTTTTCAGTTGGCCATCTCAAATGAGCAAGTGTCACCCACTCAGTGAAAATGAGTTTCAGGGCTATTTCTTCTTCCGTAATTTGATTTTGGTTTCCATCAGAAAGAGCGAGCCTTGCTCCTTGTTTTGATCACTCAGTCTGACATCCGGATGAAAATGGACACTATTTGGGTGGGGACTGTAGAGGGTCGCCTTTGAGAACCGTTGTGCAAGTAAACTCGATTCTCATAAAGACCTGTGGCTCTGGTGACTCGTGACTCATTTTCTCAGAGTGAGGGGGTCACAACTGTTTCATCTTAGGTCGACATTTCTGGTGGAGATTGCTTCACCCTCTTCAGTCGCATTTCACATACAGTGTAAAGCTTGTCCGAAAATCTGCAGATGTTCTCGCCCAAGTGTTGGAGAGTGCTGTACATATTAAACCCTCTCATCAAATCCTAGACAATGTTGTACGTGGGGTAAATCTTGCTCAGACGTGATTCCCTCATATGTGATGTGATCTGCGAAAACCCTTCAGTTGGTGAGCTTCGTCATTTTGGTGCATATCAACTTCACATTGATCTGGACACTGTCCTGTTTTCAAAACTGTTTCATTTGTGATTCCAGACAACCTAGAATCATGATGTAGACAATCTAGAATCTTAAATGGAATAGATCTGAAAACAAGAGCATGTCCATGTGAATTGGACATTTATATGCACCCAAATGACAAAGCTCACCTTGTGAAGGGTTTTTGCAGACTGCATCTCAAATGAACACTCTAGGAGACCACAATAAATAATTTCTTGGAAAGGGAAGCAGAGATACATTGTTTTTAGCAGAAGTATCTTCATCATCAGTTTGACTCTGTTTAAATAAGGGAATAAAATGTGCTTGGCCGGTCTTAAACGTGCGTTTAAGACCAGCTCAGGAGAATGGACGCGACTAATGCCCGAGCTGCAGGTGAGGGCATTATCATTCGTTCCTTCTCCAGAGCAAGGTTTTAAACGATCTTAGATCAGGTATCACCCATGGATATAAATAGATCATGATGCAACATGTCAATTGTGACAAGGAAAGCCGTGGATGGATCCTATTGTTAGATGGACATGTATGAAGGTTGTTAATGTTGGTGGTCACAAGGTTGTAAACGATAGTTTAAGACTGGCCAAGCACGTATTTATTCCCATTCATAAATACCTTTTTATTCAGAGTCAAAAGAAGTCAACATGTGATGGATTTCCAACGATTAAGTTCTAAAACTTTACTTTCATGTTCCTGACCACCCCCGTCCATTTTATGGTATATTCCTTTTGAAAGTTGCCCAATAGAATCTTTTTAAATGGACTTGGCGTGCATGGCGCTTCGCATGCATAGAGACTCCTCGCCAATCAGACCTGACTAAAGTGTCCCGTATCTATGTGCCAGCATGTGATTTACGCACGGGCATTATCACTTCTGAGCAGGCATTATCAAATGTTAATACCCGGTCACGTGACGTGTTTCAACCAATAGGAATAGAAAAACTGTCCCAGGTATTTATGAGTAATGGAACATGGTGCAGAAAGAGACAGGCTCTTAAAGGTCAGCTCTGTGGCTTTTTGTTTTTTCACCCGCCCAGTGCCAGGCTATCTCGGTTGCTTTCTTGATCGGACAGTAGGCAGCGTCCTGAATGGTGACTATTTCTCCAGCGACGACATGACAGTGCGCAAGTGCCTGCAGTTCTGCTACAACAAGAAGTTGAGGTAGGGGCTCGCCTGTCATACTTACACCGCACTTGACCAACGAAACCCCACATTGGTCTGGTTCCCCGACCAAAGATTGCCTGATGACTCTTGATAAAATCTTAGATCAGGTATCACCCATGGATATAAACAGATCATGACGTAACATGTCAATTGTCACAAGGAAAGCCGTGGGTGGATCCTATAGTTAGATGGACATGTAAGCAGGTTGTTAATGTTGGTGGTCACTTTGAAAACTTGTAAGAAAGTCCCAAAAAAAAATTTAGGAAGGGAACAACATTAAAAAATATATCTCATATGTGTACAGACATGGCCAGAAATACCTGAACATCAACAGCGCTATCTTAATGTGGACCCGACAAGTTAGGGGTATTTTGGCTATTTTCGGAAACTGGAATGTTTTCCTCCGTTTGTGGTCACACGGGTGTACGGTGATACCAGACTCTCGACTCAAGGAGAATAGTCGGAAACATCAGGTGTGTTATCCAGACTAACCCCACAGTTTTGACGTTGTCGAAACAAAGGGAGTGTCTGGAAATGGCTAAGGTGCTAAAATCATGGAGGCGTGCTCCACCCTAACTCCCTCCCCCCCCGCAAACAGACACAAAATAGACCTTATCCAGAGGGAAATCACTTTTTATCATGCTCAAAGAATCCGATTCCATGCCCCACTTTGAGTTTTTGTTCAATGTGGCTTAAAACATTTAGATATAATAAATCCCATATTCTAGACAATTCATTGGTGCAGATGACATCAACTTGTTTTGAAGTTTACTTTACTACTTTCAGTTTTATTCTCAAGTTCCCAAAATAAATGTGATGCAATCTGCAGAAACCCTTCACGTGGTGAGCTTTGTCATGTGGGTGCATATAAACTTTCAATTCACATGGACATGCTGTTGTTTCCAGATGTATTCCATTTATGATTCTAGATTGTCTACTACATGAATCTAGGTTGTCTGGAATCACAAATGAAACAGTTTTGAAAACAGGACAGTGTCCAGATCGATGTGAAGTTGATATGCACCAAAATGACGAAGCTCACCATGCAAAGGGTTTTCGCAGATCACATCAAAAATACATTAACCTCGCCTTTGATTCAATATGACCAACGTAGGAATAATGCATCGTGCTAAAACAGGGCTTGTGTTTCCATACATGATCGTAATAGCCATTCAGGAGAGAAACAATGACTTGAAGCTCTAAAAGCCCTGAAATGTCGGTAACACCCTTTGCCTAAAGTCTTCTTTATCCCTCAATCTCGTCCCTGCATTTTTGAACAGATACGCTGGCCTGCGGCAGAACACGGAGTGCTACTGCGGGACCAACGGAACTGCCTACGACGCCTGGGGGTCGCTCAGCAACACCAACTGTATGCTGCACTGCGCTGGCAACCATGCTGAAGCCTGTGGCGGACAGACAACGTGGTTCTGGACCACCTCAGTATATGACGGTAGGTATGATGAAATTGCTTAGACCTGATGCTGGAAGGAGTTTGTTGGCTGACTCAAAACCTCATGGGTGAGGGACGTTGATACATGTAGATCCAGCAGGACCAACAGGCCGTGGTACCCCCCCCATCACATTTTTTGCTTTTGAAAATGATTTAATTTATATCCCTTTCAATTCCTTCTCAAAGCAATAAAAACACCTGAAATTCAGTCTCAACCCTTAGAAAAGCTGTAAATTGTTTGCAAAAGAAATTCCAATTTTTTTTCCCCCTTGCTGAAAAAATGAAGGCCTCTTCCCCCCCCCCCGAAAAACAATTTGGTCATGAATCCACCCTTGGGGGATGGGAGTGGGGTATGTACCCCCAGTGCCCCGTATATTCATGCCCTAGCATGGAACAGAATATAAACAAAAAGAAGAAACAATGGGCAGACTGAAGAAGCTAACTGATGAGTTTTACCCTCCCCTCAGTGGACCTGGCCCGCTGTCCCAAGCCCGACGAGCCCTCCTTCGGCTTCGTGAAGGAGACGGGTGCCTTCTGGTACGGCAGCACGGCCACCTTTGACTGCTACACAGGCTTCGAGGTGGAGGAGGCGCACACGCTCAGCTGCGTCCTGGGGGACGAGGTTGACGAACTTGTGTGGCGCGGGGAGCCGACGACGTGTACAGGTGAGTGAACACACCTTCAACAAAATTTTTCGAAATTCGCAAAAGGAGGTGATGGAACGGAAAAACACCAGAGGTGAGATTTGGTCAGGATTTCTCCGGATTTCAGTATTCTTTCATCAGGATTTTTCAAACAGTCCTTCTTGAAATCTGGATAATCCAGAGTTTACTATCATTAAGGTGGTTTTACATTTGTGAAGGTTGATGTAGAATTACAAAAGAGATGGGTATTTTAAGGCGTGCCTTCAGGCAAACACAAATGTATCCGGTTCGTAAGTGACTTCATCACCAAGGCAGACACACCACGATTTGCAGTTACGTGTGAACTTCGGTTCCATGTCAACGGCGATCAGTGCATGTAATGCTGTGTGCAGTGCATGCGCAGTGGGCCTGGTTTAAAGTGAAGTGACGTCACACTTATGAACCGGATACCAACCAAAGACACTATCCACCCGGAGCTGAAGTGAACCCCCAATCGGCAAAAGAAAGACAGTTAGTTACAAGAGGGTTTTGCACACGTTCTGTGAGTATGCAAAGACCATGCACACCGGAATGAATTAGTTACGCGTACTCAACATGCTCCGCATCGACTTCGGCAAAACAAATACTGGTAATTCATATGCTCTGTGAGATGGAGCCATGGTGTCAACAGTTTGGTACAGACTAATCCGATTGGACGCCATATCTGCGGTGGCGGTGCACTCACACGCACATTCTTCAGCTTGACGCACTCGTGCATTTGGCAAATCATGACACCCTATTGGTCAAAGAGGTATGTGAGGCATGAGTGCCGCCTCTTCAGGAGCATTGTGCCGCCTGTCCACGAGCGTTGCACCACCGTAGCAACAGCTTCTGCTTCTGGTTGTTGAATTACACTAGAAGTTTGGTGTTTTTTCAGAAATACCTGAACCCACAAGCCGTAACAAGGAGGAAGAACGGAACCGCATATTCATGCAGGCTAAGCTCCTGAAAGGAACAAAGGGATCAGTCGTCAAATTGAAAGATAAGTCATCAACAAGTAAGTTAGCTGAAGTAAGATTTTGGACTGCTTTGGCAGGCAATAACAACTCGCCTGTTAATTATTATGAAGGTCGATTCTAAAAAGTATCAATGCTTGTGATTCTATCAGTGAGTTGTTATTAGAAAGGATTTTTACCAGACACAAAGTATTTTATTCATTCCATGCATTGGTGATTGCACTTGAGTGCTACTAAGTAAAACCAATAGATAAAGATTTGACAAGTGGTACTCTTTCATATTTTACATTGAGGTGAGGAACGCATTTGTCCCCGGTGGTCATCCGTTCGCTCTAAATGCCCCAAACCGTGGTATACTGTTTCAAAGCAAGGCTGGATTTTTTCCACTATTGACAGTGACAAAATGTCAGTAATTCCTAGCAGCCTGGTCTTTTGTTCAGAGTACGGTCTTTTGTTACAAGGCCCTGTTCCCTTTGTCTGAGTTCGGAAACCCCGGCCACGCATATAAAGCATACGTGTCCGGATCCGAGGTCCCCAACATGGAGTGGTTAATATTGTGCATTGATGTGAGGATGTCCAGGGTCTGTGATTCCTGGTTAGATTTGCACGCTCAACATCTGAGAAGTCTCTGGAGGTAGACCGTGTGCCGTACTAAAACACTGCCATTGTGTGAGCCCTGAGCTGGACCAAGAGAGGGCGCTATTTCTTAACACTGGAGGCTCCTTTGGTTGGAACTGCTCTTCGCCGGTTCACTAACGACTATGAAATGCACACGATGGCATTTGCATCGCTACCAGCAAAATGAACACTCCCCACCAAGTTGGCTCCTTTCAACCGATGAGGGGGTGCTTCTGCTCAAGCCAGAAACTGCCTGTCTTAGAAAATGTTGGCAACGCCATGTGGTGTTAAAAAGATGAATACTGTATGTGCCGGGAAAATACTGATACAAATGTTGTGCGATGGACTTTATAAAGACTTGCTGTTGGTGTTCCACTTCATTAAAACATTTGACCAAAAAGTCTTTTTTCATCTTGCCAAAAAGCAAAATTGTTCAAAAATTTTTTTTAAATCTGCAGGCTAGGGCTGGTACAGTGCTTTGCTGTCATTTGCTCAGAAATCTATATTACTCACTTTTTTCATATTTTTGGGGTTTTTGTCTTCCTAGGACTTATCATTGGGGCTTTGATCGGATTCATCATCTGCGTAGTTATCGCCATCTCTGTCTTCATAGTGTGCCGAAAAGAAAGGTAAGGCTCTCGTCCCAGCTCAAATGAGATATCTGAATTAGCTGCATGTAAATTTGCATAAATCCAAGGGGCGATTGTGTCTTGATTTGCATGGAATGTACGGCCGCAGAACCCGCAGTGTTAAGACGAGTCCGTGCTTCCGGCAAATTTGAAAGTCAATTGAAGTTTGGTGTCGGCAAATGTTTGCAGCGAAATCTGCAAGATTTGAAATGACCTTCCTTTGTGCAAGCTGCCAGTGTGTACATTTGATCTGACGTCACAAGATATCTGTTGGTGTTCGCTTGTGCACTGAGTCAGGAACAGCCTAATTTGTGTCAAATTTTTTGTTCTTTCTTTGTCATCATCATGCTAATTTCCACCTCTTCTTTCACACTCCCTTCCCTCTAACCAATCGCAGAAAAGAAAAACGGTCTCCAAAGATAAGGAAACAGGAAGAAGGTAACGGCAGAACGACCGGTTATCAATTAGCCCACGGAGTGTCAGCATCCACCAGCGACTCCAAAATATGACCCATCAGGTATCTCACCTGGCTTTTCAAGAAAGGATTTTTTTTATGTACAGCTGAGTAAGATTTGTTTCCGAAATGCAATGTTGTAGTAGAGACCACTCAAAGACCAGTCACAGGGCCAGACCCAAGATGATTTACAGTTGTAGGGTGAACAGCGACAAAGGAATGCTTTTGTTGCAGTTTATTTGAATAGGTTGTGACTTGAATTCAGACTTGGAGGTCTTGTGTCGGTCCCGCGATGGTCTTGGGGCTCTCGGCTGCGATTCTGCCAGAATGGCAAACATGTTTCAAAATTGAGTAACAAAAGAGACTTATTTTGTTTTAAGTCCAAAAACAGATTTTATTTAGCTGAATGCTATTTGGCTCAGAATTGTAGAATGTCTATTTAAGAAAACAGAGATTTTCACCTGCTTTAGAAAAATAGTTTTGGATGTAGCTGAGTATAGTTGGGTCTAGAAATGCACAGTTTTTCTTAAAGCAAGTCACTGAGGGTTCTTCAGATTTTAAGTGATGAAAATGTTAATTATGTGGGATGTGTTCCATCTTCATTTATGACTCCCTATTCCCAAACCAGGCTGAAGTAGGTAAATTCCTATGTTTGACTGTTTCTCTTTGTCACTGTTTATTTTCAAATTGATCCATCATAAAAATTTTGTCTGCAGAAAGTTTTGAAAGTAGCAATGAAAGTTGTGGAAATTACATTGTTTGCGTGACGTTAGTAACGTTTTCCCAGATAACGGCTTGCAATTCTTCAGGATGGTTTTGGAATAGGGGGTTCACGTTTATAAAAAGAGGTGAAATGTAAAGAACGATCTTGCCACAATCAGATCTGATTTGCGTACCTTTGTGCAGCATGAGTTAAAAAAATGTCAGCACGGCTCCCCAGATTCAAGAACTACTTAAGGGAATAGAATTTTTTTGGGGGGGGTTCTTTATTTGAATTTGAGAAAAACTTTTCACGAGTGTTGCTGACTTGTTCAGATTTTATGGTGAAGATTGTACTTTTGTGAAAACTGAGCAGCAGCAAATTAGACTTAAGGGTCAGTTTATACATTGTGAATTTGTGGTTTCAATGATACACGGAGATTTGCCAGGGTTGAAACTAGGGTTTCATCTGGGATTGCAACGTCCGCCTGTCCATTCCTGCCCAAGCTTAAAACTGCCTGTACTCTCTCTGGAAAACTGTTCGAAACTGACACCCCGTGGTGGAATCTGAGGCCCCGTTTCCACTACGCCAAGTATTTCTGAAGGAAATTTGAAGACTCACTCACCAAGTGTATTAGAAAGAAATGGGGCTTGAAAATTTTGAACAAGCAAAAACCACCTGTCCCCAGGCAGGGGTACAGGTGGCTAGATGAGACCCTGGTTGAAGTGTGGTTTTGATTTTTTTGTGACTTTCTGATGTGGCTATTAGTTGTAGCATGACAAATCTGTGTTTATGCTCTCATCCATGATTGGTTTCATTGCTAGGTGTGAACTGGCCCAGTGTGTATTGCTGTGTACATGTACGTGCAAGGCCCGTGGGCATGTAACCTAATGCCAATAGGTGTGTAGGCCAGGGACTTATTCACCTGTCTATTGCCTAGGACCTATGGGCTGTTGACCTATTGGCTCAGGACCTATGGGCTGTTAGCCTGTTGGGTTAAGACCTATGGTCTGTTGGCCTGTTAGCTTAGGACCTACAGGCTGTTGGGCTATTGGCCTAGGACCTATGGGCTGTTAGCCTGTTGGCTTAAGACCTATGGTCTGTTGGCCTGTTAGCTTAGGACCTACAGGCTGTTGGGCTATTGGCCTAGGACCTATGGGCTGCTGATGTTTATACCTATGGCCTACCGGTAGGTTAAGATAGGGCATTTCAAGTGATTGCTTCAAACGTCTGACTATGCAAGACATCTGAGGTTTGCAGTTGAGATTGGCAAAATATACAGAACTTTGAGGTCTTGGAGAAATGTAATGTAACAATCGGCGAGGCAGGGTTCTTATTCTAAAATTTCGCTGAGCAGCTGCTGTTAATCTCCCATCACACTAACCATAACGCCTCATGCCAAAGCCACCGTGTGTGGTGAAAAGGAAGCCAGTTCAGTTCAATTTCTTAAGCCGTTTTGGCTCACCCCCTTTTCCAAATGGACGAACCAAAATTGAACAAATGCAAACAATGCCTTTACAGTCCAATAGCTAAAAAAGGATAAAAAAGTCAGGAGGTCAGTTGTTTTCTGGGCTTGATAACCTTTTGGATTCATAGGATTTTGGATCTGAGTTTCTTATACGTTCTGTCAGTCATTTTTTTCATTTCCCCATTGTTTTTGCCATTCCTGGTCCCCAAGTGGCCGTGGACATAAAAACCCAAACAAATGGCAAATCCTATCTGCAAAGGAAGGGCATGAAAGAAAAAAAAACTTCACAATTTGACACGAGGGCTTGGTCGGAGATTTGACAAGGTTTGATTTCTTGTGCAGATGAAAGGGCATACATGTAGCGGCATTTTTTTTTGGATTAAGAATTTTGTTACTTGTTTAGCCAGGAAGTAGTTGGTTTTATTTTAAATAGTGCAGACCTCACATGAATGGTGTTATTCCGGGTCATTCCTAGCCTCAGAAGTCAAATGTCTTTTCAGTCAGTTCTTTACTTGATTTCATAGGACAGTCTCTAATGTTGAACATACACATGTTTTGGATTTTAGGCTCTGGATCCAAATTTTGGCAGTTAAGCAGACCACCATGTTTTGCAAGTTTGTGTTTTCAAGCAAAATTTTGCAGAGAACCAGTCCGCAAGTAATACGTAAAACATAGATTATTGGCTTGCAAGCAGTTTGCTCAGCAAAGATTTTCTGCATGTAACAAATTTTTCTGAGCTTTGCAGACCTTTGAAATTTGGCCCCTGGATGTTATATATGTTAGCACCGAGTTGAGTTTCACACCGGAACTGGTTAGCAGGAATTTCCTAAGCCAAAAAAATTTGCTAAGCAATAGCTGTCACCAGCTGAAATCATTGTGTCCAATGTGCATGCCTTCTGACTGGCCCCTTGGCCGATTCTCGCTCAGCACAGACATTCTTCTAAGCAAATTTGTCTACTTAACCGTTTTTGGCATTTGACCCTGCATTACTGTTCCTAGTCCTGTGGGGACGGTGCCCAGTAATCATTGAGGAATTGTGCCAGCAGTTTTGAGACTAACCATGCATTTTAAATAGTGATAAGCCCAGTGCAGAGGTCAGTGGAGTGGCGTGGGGTGGGTTGTTTGTTGCCCAGGTGGGTAACTTTGACAGTATTTCCATAATTGAAATTTTGAAAGTCCTGCCATTAATTGTGATGTGATTTTGGACCAGAAAGAGGTGTAATCATTTCAATGTTCTCGAAAATATGAAACACAAACTGATATAATTTTTACCTGAAATTAAATTTATATGTGTGATGAAGGTACTCAATCATCAGTATGTAAACTGCATGCCAATAATTAAGCCTCATGAATATTTATGGCTATGTCATGAATGCCAAGTTATACAAAGATATTTATGATTTCTAAGATATTCATACGCAGATAGGTAAACTATGTTGTACACGTAAAGGGGATATTTTAACCTTTGAGACAAGATTCTGAAGTAATGGAAGAAATTTTTCTTGCCCATTCTAGCAATATAGAGCCAGAAAAGTAAGGAATAGGTTAGATAAATCAGTAGATTGTGGGTACAATTTGCCAATCTGGCACGGTTATAAATTCATGATCAAGTTTAATCATTCCTGCACATAACTTTGTAAAAACACAGTACATTTAAGTAAACAGTAGATGCAAATGAATATTTGCCTTAAAAAGCTCGCCCTGCTCCCTCTCAGCGTGTATTCGAGACCCTGTTCTCGTGTTAGACGAACACGAGAACAGGGTTCCGAACTGGGATAATCAACACGCGAACATTGTTCGCGAACAAGATTCTCACTCCCAACTTTCTGGGAAGTGGATGAAGAACACCAAGAACAAAGATGGCGGGTACAGGCACATACCATTACTTAATTTTGGTTTTGTTACAAGTGTGTTATGTAGCAACTGAAGGGTCTCGTATATTGTACCGATTTAAAAAAAAAAATCCATTCTCTGCCATATACACGAGTCTTTCCGAATAACACTACTTGCAAGACAGTTTTTCCGTTAGGGTATCACAGTTAATTTCATTGCAAAATCATCCCGCTTCACGAATTCAACCTTTGACCACTTCCAGCGAAAGACTGATTATGTTTTATGAAGAATATTGTAAGCAAGTTAATATTAGCAGAGGTTGAGGGCAGTATAGGTTCCGCTGTATACTGTCTTTAAAAGTGCTTTCATACTGATTTTCAATGCAAGGCGTAACTCATTTGTGTATAGACTTCGGTGATTTTTGTGTCAGCATGAAGTGTGGTTGTGTACGTATTGTTTTTGATATTTTGTAATTTGGTAATCACATTTTACGGTTATCCTGACCTGCCGTTCCTAAACCAGGCTAACGTTTTGATGTTTGATAATAAGTCCTCTCCACTTCTTGATATTCATCTTAAAAGATTTTTTTTCGAGAGTGATCCATTGTTTAAAAAAAAGTGTCTTCAGAAGGTTTGTGTTTTAACACGGACAAAGAATTTTTGGGAAGTCATGTGTACACGTATGTTGGTATTAGTTTTCAGATAGTGGCCACAACTTCTTCGGTCTGGTTTGGCATACTGAAATGAAATGAAACAAAAATTGGTAAAGATATCAAAACTGGCTGGTTTTCGAAGCTGACAAACTGTTGCATGGGGTGTCAGTGTTGTACACTCTAAAACCCCCCGGGTCAAATTGACCCAGAATTAGGTTCCAATCGGCATGACCCTTTTCTGGGTCAGAATGTGACCCCCTTTCGGGTCATATTTGACCTTTTAGGGGTCATATTTGACCGTTTCTGGGTCATGCCGAATGGGACCCGATTCTGGGTTAATCCGACCCGGGAGATTTTAGAGCGTAGTGGACTCGCACTGTCCAGACCATTTTGAAAAATAAAGATTAACTGATGTTGACTGCATTTTTAGAATCCTTCCAAGCACGTCCGTGTCTTTTGAAACTCTGGAGTTCTAAGCTTGATTGCAAAAGTGTATCAATCGGTACTTCCATTGGATCAGTATATTTTTTTAAAGTCGGGGCCGCTTGATTTGATTATTAGGACCATTGTGTATTGGAGGGGGTTATGAAGGTACAGAGAAAATCTTTACAGAAAATAGAATACTTTCGTTTAGTTTTGTTTTTAGAGACTTTATCAATTTTGAGGTAATTTTTTGTGATTTATTAACTTAGTTATATTCATGATCTGTACAGATGCAGATGATTTGTCACCATGTTTGACATGGTAAGAATAAAAATGTGTGTCGGAAGCGAATGAAGAGTATTGCATGTCCTTGCCTTACACTTTGTTCCCCCCGGGTTGCGTGTTTCCCAGGTTTCCCTGGAAGCTGTTTGAAAGAAAATATTTGCATCTTTAAAAGCAGAACAAGTAGAAGCAGAACAACCATCAGAATTTCCCTGCACTTGACTCGCCAAATGTGACATCCGGTGACGACCGCTTTAAGACAAAGCCCTTTTATAATCAGGGCAGACGATAGTCTGAAAGTTGTTACATTGGCGGGAAAATGCATTCTTCACTCCAGCACGCGGTGTTGTTTTCATATCACAGGTGCGACGAGCCAATGGAAACGCAGGAATGAAGCATGCCATTCAGCCTTGCATGTTGCGCCTCTACGGACCACCGTTGTATAGGCCTTTCGTCGCACTTCACATGTTGTTTCGAACGTAATCGGTCAGTCAGTGTGCATTCTCTGAAGGACAACTTTTGGCCATCATTATATTTGGGACTTCGCTTTCAGGCATTCTTGGTATTTGTGGCAATTCGGAAGTTGCTTGAGGCTGAGTTTAACTTGCTGACAACGAAAATCGGGCAAAATTTGGAATGTAGTCGGCTACTCCGAGAACCAACTAGTCCGTGGAGAACCAACTAGTCCGTGGCACAGTTTCCGACATCAACCCAGATAGGCCAAGATGTTGCAGGTAAGTGAGCTTACAACTGACGAAAGTAACAGTCTGAGAGTAGGTATAGGTAGGAGAATGCCCTTCAATTCAGTGAACTGTAAAATTGCCATCAAGTTCGGGTTCTGATTTAAAAAGTCAGCATCGGGCAAACGAGGTGTGAAGCTCTCGGTAGGCATGCTACTTCCCTAACCCCTCCCCCCCCCAAAAAAAACAAGTCGGACAATTTTTCATAACAGCTTTGCAAGGACCACACTAGTCTCACTGATATGAGCTTTACATTTCTGTTATTCCTTGACCGTCGTGTCCTGATGTGTTCCCATAATCATCCTCATCAAAGGGGAGCTGTAGTCCATTTGTTTAATGCAACTCTCCAAAAGGCAACTTTATGTCTCAGTTAACTTTATTTTAAACTTTTGTTTCACTTTTTCAAATGATATTTTACTACCCTTTGTTGTGCTAATGAATTTGCATATTCATGAGCAAAAATGAGGCGTCATCCTAGCAAGAAAGCCTTGGTATCGCATTGAGTTGTGCACAAAAGGCCCTGCATCGTTGTAGATTTGGCTAGACTGAATTTTCTCTTCGCTGAATTCATCGCGAGTCACGCGTACAGCAAAAAAGCAAGCCTTAGTCCCTTTCTCGTAACCATTTTCATTTAGTATATTCTGGATTCACAATTTGAACATTTGCCTTTGAGTACTGACCTACAGCAACAGCGCCCTCAGTTGTCCAGGAAAGCGTGGATCGTTTATATAACGGGTTTTGCCTCTACCCAAGGTATATATTAATAAACACTCTATGCTCAGTGCTTGTCCGAGAGCTTGCGAAAAAAGTCACAAGCTTACTCGAGTGGGACTCGAACCCACACCTCCTGCTTACTAGTGCAGACGTCTTAACCACTCGACCACCGAGCTTGCCGGGGTCAGCTGGCCGGTCCGAGTCGGGTGAAGTAGCGGGTACCGCGAACTATTTTCAAGATGTATTTTTGCGTTGGGGAGATGTTAATTTATATAACGGGTTTTGCCCTTACCCAACGTATATATTAATAGACACTGTATGCTCGGTGCTTGTCCGAGAGCTTGCGAAAAAAGTCACAAGCTCACTCGGGTGGGACTCGAACCCACGACCTCCTGCTTACTAGTGCAGACGTCTTAACCACATCCCCCCAACGCAAAAATACATCTTGAAAAAAGCGTGGATCAGTTGAAGTGTTTAAAAAGTGCACTGTTCAAGAAGAGTGTTCACACTTTGAAAAAGAGTACAAAGTTTCAGAAATAAATTGTAGCTAAAATAAAAATTCATTGCAACACTTGTTGAAGAAGAACAACATTCAAAAGGCTGACTACATATACAATTCGGTGGCATTAAATACGCTTTAATGGTCATTTCTTTACTCCTCGCTGTAACAACAGTACTTTTGTAGACAAATGAGGAAAGTATCATAATGATTTCAATTAATGTCGCACCGACAAAATGACTGTGTAAAAATCGAAAGGAATGAGCCGAAATGATCTTGCCTTGAGTTATCAATGCCATGTTAATATACTATGCCTTGGTATTTCTTTTGAATTGAGTCTTCTCTATGCCAGTGCTCTGAAAGAGACATGACTGACACCAGAAAAAGCATTGTTATTAAATAACATCAAATTGCATCACTAATTATGCATCACAGTGGTTCACCATGTCAAAGAATTTCATCAGTAATTTTAAGAACAAAAGGGAAGTACAAAATTTGAAATACAAAGGTTTATCGTTGATTTCAGCCTGTAAAACAAAGAGAAGTGATTTTTATCAAAGATTAATACATTTACTGTATACAAAACCTGGAAACTACGACAATCTCAGAAAGCACTTTGGCTTGCCCTGAATTATATGAAAAAAACCCTGACGGTGAATGACGCAATCTTGGATAGTACTTATCCCGAAATTATCAACCGTAACCCTGGGTACAATAATTTGCCTGATGTATTAAAAACATGTGCTTATTTAACTCTGTGGATTTATTTTCAAACTCTCATCGGCGTTAACTATTTTGGTTGGGCTGATTCGCAACTTTTCTGACAATGCACTATTATGAAAACCTACACGCGAGCGTATATGGAGGGAAGACTTAAGCCGCCTTTCCACACTGGACGTTTTTGGGTGCGTTGCGTACACAATGCGTTTATGTGCTTCACTTTTACGGACACAAAAATCGACCCATTAACATCATACACGTATGAGTTACGTTCAGCCGTCAAAATTGCCCCGGGAGCGATTTCGACGGATACGCAATGCTTGGCGCAAGTGTTGACGCGCACATGGGAAGGCGCCTTTATCCGACAAGACGCCATATTTGCTGTGGCAACGAACTCTCAATCATGTTCCTCAGCGTGTATTTGGCAATATTACAACACCTTACTGGTCGATGTGACGTGTAATGCGCCCGTACCACTTGTCCACAAGGGGAGTTGTGCCACCGCCATACCGCAGTAATGGAGTCTCATTCTGGTTGTCGACGTAACTACTGCACACTCCTATTAATGTTGGCGCCTTTCAGGCCTAACGGTTGTAAATCCTCTAAATTCAGTGTAATTTTTTTTCGAATACCGTAACGGGCTCATACCTCTCCAAACCAAATATTAAAACTACGACTGATTTGATCAGTTTTGATGTTTAAGGAGAATAATAGACAAGATTTCCATAATATGCTGCTTTTTGAGTTTTTCTCCAAAGGTTGCGAGGCTCACTGATTCTATAGGATGTGATTGGACGGATTCCTTCATGATCAGAGTACGCTGCATGCGTGTATCCCCCATTTCTGCCTTAGGAATTTGTGTAATAGCGTCTTGTGTCTCTGTGAAACTTTACTTTTGATGCCTTTACTGTTGATGCCTTTACTGTGCCCGTTAACTAGGTTATTTGAGTCAAACCGTTTAGTAGAGGGCTGAACTGGTTTAGTACCAATTTGAAAGTATGATGAGCGGACAAATTTGTGTAATGGCGTCTTGTGCCTCTGTGAAGCTTTACTTTTAATGCCTTTACTGTGCCCGTTAACTGGGTTACCTGAGTCAAAGCGTTTAGTAGAGGGCTGAACTGGTTTAGTACCAAAGTATGATGAGCGGACAAATTTGTGTATCGGCGTCTTGTGCCTCTATGAAGCTTTACTTTTGATGCCGTTACTGTGCCCGTTAACTAGGTTATCTGTGTCAAACCGTTTAGTAGAGGGCTTAACTGGTTTAGCACCAAAGTACGTTGAGCGGAAAAAATTCGCAAAAAGCACAAAGTAACTGAAATACAGCACGACGGCTAATACCAACTGCCCCTGACCAATGTCACAGGTCACTCCTTTCAACTTCATAACGGCGGCATATATGACCAGAATATTACCCATTATCATCTGGATAATTTGGAGAGAGGTAATTCCCATGGCAACGAATTTGGGCAGGCGAAAGCCAGCTGAGCGGAGCGCGTAGTAGGGGTACATGAGTCCGTGCACGAAGTAGTTCATCACGGTGAACCAGACACCGGGGGAGCCTAGCTCGCTGTACACGGCGAAAACGAACAGGGGCACGGTCGCGTGGTGGTACCAGTGCAGAAAGATCAACTTCTGTTTGCGGAGGACGATGAAGAGGGTATCTACCAGCTCAGGAATCTTGGAAAGGGTGAAGAACAAGCCCCAGATGCCAAGGAATTCTTTGCTGTAATAGGCCTTGTCGCAGACGGTGGAGTGCCATCCGTTCTGGGATAGAGCCTTGGAGAAGACGGGGACGAGTCTCCACGCTCCAAAAAAACTGAATCCACCGAGGAGGACGTTCCAGAGGAACAGGGGGCCCTTGAGACGGTACGCGGGACGGTTCTCCATCCATGCACGCCCGGCAAAGACGAGTAAGACATAGAGTACAGAGATGGGGATGGTGTAGATGCGGTACTCCTTCAAGACGTTGGTGCAGGAGACAGCATCGAAGTCTTCCTCGAAGCTGAACCTCTCGGACGGCCCGAGACCTTTGTATGGCATGTGCAGTGTGTTCATCATGGTGGTTCGCAGATCTGACTTCGACTTCGAGTTTCAATGCAAAGCCAGCTGGCCCGTTTATACACAAGTGCCAAATAGAAGGCAAAGAAAAACCAGAATTAGCACACCAAATCTACAACAGTTGCAAAAATGGTTCGCTATTATGTCAGATATCGTTCGAGTTTCAAATTCCACTACTGCGTTCACTGTTGTAACAGGATTGTAAAATAACGTGTAAAAATAATAAAGGAAATAAATCTCACTGAACTTTTCCGTAATGCAAATAATCATCCTTTTCTTGTTTAAATGCATCAAACAAGCGCTTCTTTTAAACCAAAGCTCTGTCACAGTGCGCGTAACAGTGATAC